AATCCTGAAAACCCGGAACGCACCGTAGACAGCCCCACTTCCTCCGTCTCAGTCCTACCATCAGCAGCGTTTGTTCGTCATTCAATGTTCTATGGATATGCAAAAGAACATTCGGTAAACAGTGGGGACTGCAACCGAAAATGATCCATTGGATTTACTCGGCAATTGTGAAACCCAGGGTTACTTATGGCGCATTGGTCTGGTGGCCAAAAACAAAAGAGTGTTGCTCAGAGATAGTTGAAAAAACTCCAAAGGTTAGCAACTCTCTCAATAACAGGTGCAATGAGAAGTACACCATCGAAGGCATTGGATGCTTTGCTTTATATGCTACCATTGCATCAATTAGTACAATAAGAAGCCGAAAAGTGGGCTCTAAGGATTACAAGGTCAGTGAAACTCTTTGGCTGCCAAGATATTGGAAACTTTCGACGTTCTCCACTGCTTGCCCCGCTACCGTATAGTTGGAAGGGTTGCCCGTGTTGACATCCAACGATTTGGTTCTTGTTGACGTTGATGGTGAGACCCACCGCAGAGGAGCGTTCGGCTAGGTCATTGAGCATACTCTGCATATCAGAGGTCGTTGAGATGCTCCATGGTGATAGGCTGTCAAAGCAGCCCACGGTTCGGTACACGGTCAATTTCACCCACCATGATCTCGTCGATTACGATGAGGAACAGTAGCGGTGATAGTATACATCCTTGTCTAACACCAGCGACTACCCGGATAGGGTCAGACGAGGCTCCGTTATACAGAAGTCTGTACGTGAAAACCTGATGAGGTTGACGATTTTATCCGGGACTCAGGGCGCCCTACAGATTCTCGTGATTGAGTCGGTCGAAAGCTTTTTCGTAGTCAATGAATACCAAAAAAAGGGACTCTTGGAATTCATTGAACTTCTCCAGGATGATGCGGAACAAGACAATATGGTGCACACAAGATCTTCTAGCACGGAATCCTGCCTGCTGCCGCCGGAGAGTCGCATCGATCTTCTCCTGTATCCGATTCAGGATAACTTTGTACAGAACTTTGAGATCAATACACAGTAATATGATGCCTCGCCAATTGTCGCACACAGTCAGATCCTCCTTCTTTGGGACCTTCACTAAGACGCGCTGCATCCAGTCGGCCGGAAAAGTCGCGGTGTTCCAGATATTACAGAATAGCTGATGCAACATTTGAGTGGATAGCATGGGGTCAGCTTTGAGCATCTCTCCTGCAGTGAGGGGGCCTCAGAATTGACGCGAGTGCTGCGCCGCACCGTAGGCCGAGATGTTGGTGGCTGGTTGGCTTTCAAAACTTGAAGAAGTTGAAGATGCTTCTTCATCTTCAACTATGTAAATCGTTGGCTTCACGTAGAAGTAATACTAAAAACATATAGTCAAAGTACATAACTCTGGATGGGAGCATACCATCAATTACTGTCAATGGTCGAAAGGTACAGTAGCAGCACCTACCCCACCCGTGTCCCCTCGAGATTGTCAAGTCGACGATGACAGGAGCACATATCGTGGTAGGGGTAAATAATAGTTGCAATTTCCAAACCTACGACTGGATGCCTTCCTTCAAATAACAACTGAAGTGCGGTAAAAATCGGTAGAATTGTTTCAAACACACCGTTGGTACTTGAGCGGTCGGTTTTCATCTCTTTTTGCCAGTGGAGGCGGGGGGGAGGTTGACACCCCTCACCATCCCTCTCCAAAGGGGGAGTTTGGTAAAGAGAGATGAAAAAACCGATTTGTACCTTCCTTAAAAGTTGTCCTAGCTCTCTATTCTAATATCTATATGCAATCTTCACACTGCCGTACTCTAACGGAACTATCAACTCTATGCTTTCATCTACTCCATCTATCGTATAAAAATTACCACTACAGTCTGTTATTTGAAATTAGCATCTTTAACTATGTAAATCGTTGACTTCACGTAGAAGTAATACTAAAAACATATAGTCAAAGTTGAAGAAGTTGTTCGAAGTGCTCAAACCAGCGTTTCAGCAACTGTCCAGTCGTGTCTTTTACTGGCATCCTCGGGTTCATCCTTGCTGTACTCAGGCGTCGTGAGATATCGTAGAGGAGGCGTATATCGCCAGTGTTTGCGGCTTTCTCCCCAGGGAGTTCACCCACGCTCACACACAATTCATTGATACGTTTGTTGTTCTGGTTGATAGAAGAACATAGCAGAAATAGTGCAAAATAGAGGAAATCGATGAAGAGAATTGAATTTCACTCTAAGCCCCTTAAATCAGTCGACGTCATAGCAATGCAAACTAGCATCGCACCGCTTTTGGTTCTTGGGTTATACTTGCTGGTTGCAATTCTGCTGTTCGACATTTTCGAAGGACCACAAAAAAACATGAAATTACACTAGAGATGCCTAAAACTCCAATTATTCGATTAACGATTGATCGTAAAGATTGTTCCATCTATTCGATTAAATATTTTTCGAATTTTCAATTATTCGAGCACGTAACCGACATCCGTTCTTAGTTCTACTCGTTTGATTAAGCACAGTAGAAAAAATAAATAAAAGTACTAATTGATCTCAACAGGCATAGAGAAGAACCATGACGTGAAACAGGATCATAAATTCGCAGAAAAAAGTGTTAATCGTTTTTCTTCTAAAGGCTAAGATTTACCAACTTGTTGAAAGAAGGAGTTGAACGAGAAAACTAAAATGGGAGGGGCTCCAATCATTGAACCGAAGAATATGGGATTGTCCGGTCCGATTTGCTGATCCAGCTGACTACACATCATAATCATCTTCCAAAGGCTTTAAGGCTTTAAGCTTTGGAAGTACACATTGGTTCTTTTCAGGGCCACCAAGATTTTCCAAAAAAGTTAAATTTCTGAACATGTCCCAACTAAAACTCATATCAAAAGGTTATTTTCAGGTCAATCATAGTCATAATATAGCGTATAAACAGAGAGAACCCGCTCAAATTTCTATACCTACGCCCAACCGGGGGACGTAAGATTCGCTTACAATTATATGGGATTCATCATCAGAGGATGTTAGTGGAGACCGCATGAACCGAGGATACGATATACCTAGCAGCGGTCTAATGCAAGAAAATTGGAAACCGAAAATGTGGAGTGTATTAGTGAGTGAAATGTGTCGAAAAAAACTGGAAAAAGGATGTCGACTGGACTCGAACACCGAACGTTGCGATTTTCAGACCTGTGCTTTCTCCACTCTGCTCTCTGCTCTCTGAATATGAGTAGCAAAAACAAACACGAAGCGCTCATTTCCTCTCATACTCGGTTTCGTATGCTGTTTCTGCTGGAGAGATTCGAGGCAAGTGTGTGCGTTATACATAAAAAGCTTACTGGTATAGTCGAAAACGTAGATAGAACACGAAATAAAAAAGACAAAAAAAAAACATTACATCGCCTGTAAGGTCAACTTCTAACATTCGCTGCGATGTTCATGAACAGAGGATGATAGGAAGTGGGACTAACATTCATTTTAATACATTTTTGGTTTGCGTGTACACAAAACACAAGCTCCTGCTGCAGTTAACAAATAACATTTATTATATAATACCTGCTGTCCCTTGTAATTTTTTGATTTACGGTTAAGCGACTTGCAGTCAATTTATTTGTTTATAAGAAAGTTTGAACATACTGAGAGGTAAGCACATATCATCGGTAAGAGACGTGTGTGTGAGAAAATTTACGAAAAAATCAAAGGGCACCGGTGGGATTCGAACCCACAATTCCCATTCAGTACACGGGTGCATTGCCAATTATATAACGGTGGACCTATATAGTCTACGTACGTATTTATGTGGTTAATGACATTTTTGATTTTCGAATCCGTTTCCCACCCTAGTCTTTTTGCGCAAGCGTTCTCTAATACACAACAATCGTCTATTATCGACGATACCACTCAGTATCAGTCGATGTGAACAAACACAGCTCATGTTTGTTGTGCATCCTTACATGCTAAAGTATTTCCAGTACAGTAGGAAATATAGTGCAAAGTCTTGTAAGCGGTCACGGTAGTCGACACATTTTCTGTGATAATTGACTGCCTTTGCCTCTGACACTTGCAAAACAAGCTATCATAGTACAGTACCAAACTAAAATGTCATATGACAGGCTCTGTCATACGACACTGTCGCCGAAGACCGTCACCAATGTATATATTTTAGTTTTTCTCATAATAAGAGCTGCTGATGTTGTGCTTGTGTGAATTCTGAAAATAGCAAACAATGATGTCCTAGTAATAATATTTCTGATCAGAAATGGTTTGATGTACACCAAATTGAGGACTTACAACGAAATCACACATGTCAAATGATAGCTATTTTGATAATTTTCTTTTAGCTCGAATGTTATTCTACCGCTCGTGTTGTGTGAGAGAGACGACGGTAGAGCATGAGTGTTCGAATACAAACAGACTGTCGCGCACGACAACGAAGCGAGTGTAGTAAAAAACGTCAACTGTTTCAACCCCTGAGTGCAACACTTGAACTGCCAGTCTCACCTCCGACCACAAGGGCCGTAGTGATGAATATCATCAATTACTTTTTGATTCACGGTGTTGGGGAGGATTCGGATTGTGCGAGAGAAATATAATTCTTGTAGCAGCTCGTTGTTTATCAGCTCAACTATAAGTTAAATACACATTTTAGGATCGGATATTAGGATTATTTGAAGCTACTTACAGAATTTTAGTATTCTTTTCTCCCGTGTACAACGTGCTCTGACCTGATGGGGCTCTTACGGGTTTATAGGCTAGTTTTAGGTAACACATTGTTAGAATAGGTATTTTAATTCATTTAGGTAATAAGAAACTTACTTTTATGAGTTTAAATTTAGTTAGCAAGTAAGTTTTGTGAATAATCGCAAATAATTTAAGTAAATTTAATTCTAATTTTACGAAGATCACTTCTGTGCACGTTCCAGCCTAGAATTGTGATTTTATTCTTCACTTTGCTGGTGACATCATCTCATACCTGTCAGTCCTCGTATCTGTCATACAGTCAGCGGCTCGGCAGTTACCAGTGAGGTAGACTCATCGCTGACTTGCTGCACAGTGGGCTTAACACTTCCCCGGCCCGTAAACCTTGTCCAGGGTCAACTTCCGGGACAGATTTACCAACCTTCGCCATCTCGATAGGAGCAAGTTTGACCAGCGGTCGTCGAAACAGTCCACTATTCGTACGAACAATAGCCTGTCTAATGTGTCCATCTTTGCCCGGGATGACTTGCTCAACTTGGCCACGAATCCAGCCATTCCGGCCATGGTCGTCGACGATGAACACCAGGTCTCCTGCTTTCAGTGGTTCACTGCTCTCCAGCCACTTGGTCCGAACATTCAACGACGGTAAATATTCCTTAAGCCAGCGCTTCCACAGTTCGTCGGCGACGTATTGTGAACGTTTGTAGGAGCTACGAAGTGCTTCTGCCAAATTCGTTGGTGCGATGCTAGGGTCCTGAAGACCAGTAGAACTTCCTTTGACGAAATGGTTGGGGGTTAGCGCTTCTGGGTTTATAGGATCATCTGGCATGTAGATCAACGGCCGAGCGTTAACTATTTCCTCTACTTCCGCGATGATGGTGAGAAGGATCTCATCGTTGAGCCGGTCTACGGTGATCAGGGCTGCCATGGCAGCCTCCCATACTCCGCCCATATGAGGGGCGGATGGCGGGTTAAATGTCCAACGCGTTCTAGCATTCGTGAAGACGTTTGCGCCAGCCGTGTCGATCCGTCGAATCTGCTCCTGGAGTTCCTTACTGGCAGCCTTAAGGTTCGTGCCGTTGTCAGAGAAGATGGTGATTGGCGGACCTCTTTTCAGAACAAATCGGCGGATTGCCATGATACAAGAATCCACGTTCAGCTTATGGGCCACTTCCAGGTGGATAGCTCGCACACTCAGGCACGTGAAGACAACGACCCACCTCTTTTCGACACGCCGCCCTACTGCTACTGTTACCGGGCCGAAATAGTCAATCCCAACATAGCTAAAGGGCTTCATGAACGGTGTTACACGCTCGACTGGCAAGGGAGCCATCTTCGGAGTTCGTGGTTGACATTTCCGAACTTTGCACCATTGACACGCCTTGATTACCTTCCCCACACACGCTCGAATATTTTGGATGTAAAAACGTTGTCGAAGTTCATTGACGACTGTTTCCTTGAAACCGTGGGCAAAGTGTCGATGATAGTGCTCCAGCACGAGAACGGTAATTGGGTGATTCTTCGGTAAAATGATGGGAAAACGGGTGTCGTACGGAACCATCTCTGCCAGCTTCGTTCGACCGTCAATTCGTAGAACTTGGTGTTCGTCCAGAAACGGTCCTAAACGGTAGAGCTTGCTCGTCTTTTCTACCGTTGACCATTTCTCCTTCGGATGCGCTTGGTTTTTGGAAAGAATCGTAATCTCGTGGGGAAAGCACTCACGTTGCGCCAACCTCCACAGCACCAACTCAGCTTTTTCATACTCCTCCTGTTTCAGTGGAACGACCGTCTTTACTGGCGCACGCAGGGAAATCCGTTGCAGCTTAACTGAAACCTCAATCGGTTCAGCTGTTCGTCCTTGAACTCGTCTTCGGCAGTTCGAAATGAAGCGGAAAATCACGCAAACTGTGCGCAAAACCACTTTCCAACGGGAAATTCGAGTGACATCTATCAGCGGCTCGGAGAGTTGATCATTGTGGAACATGTGACATGCTCGAAGTTCTTCGGTAGTGTTAGATGGAGGAAGCTTTTGTGTAGGCCATGATTCCTCCGGTAGCTGAAGAAAGTCAGGGCCATTGAACCAGGCGCTGTTGTTGTCCAAAACCGGCCCGTTGCCCCACTTGGTGAGCATATCTGCCACGTTAGATCGGGTTGGTACCCAGCGCCACTCGTCCACTACTGTTTCTTGAAGAATCTCCCCGATCCGGAACGCAACAAACGGTTTGTAGTTTCGGTGATCCGACCGTATCCAAGACAGGACCGTTCTCGAGTCGGTCCACAGCACGCGTTTTGTTATCTGCACATCGTGATTTGCAACAACGGTGTTGAGAAGCCGTACGCCCAAAACGGCCGCCTGCAGCTCCAGACGGGGAATAGATAATGGCTTCAAAGGGGCTACCTTGGTTTTGGCCATCACTAACGAACATCGTGATCCTTTTGGAGTCGTAACACGGAAAAATGCAACGGCACCATATGCCTTTTCCCCCGCATCTACCAACACATGGAGCTGTAGGGAACTATACGTTTCAGGAGGTGCACCACGCAGGTAGCATCGAGGTATTTTCAACTTCTCGATTTGCGGCAGTAAGGATCTCCAATGCGTCCATTTGGCGTAAGACTGGTCATCCATCTCCTGATCCCATTCGCAACCCGCTCGCCACAGGTCTTGCATCAGGATTTTTCCCTGGATTGTGAAAGGCGCCAACAACCCTATCGGGTCGAAGAGGCACATGATGCAGCTTAGCGCAATGCGCTTTGTTGGTCGCTTCGGTGTGGTCAGGTAAGGAATCAGATCGTCCCGTAAAGAGGTTGAAAAGGTGAACACGTCTTGCTTTGGACACCAGATGATGCCTAGAACCCTGGCCGTCTTGTTATCCTTGCTGTCGTGTAACGGGATCCTTTCTTCAACCTCGGATTCCCCAAGATCAGCGAGGAACGCATCCGAGTTTGAAACCCAGTGGTGTAGCTCAAAACCCGCCTGAGAGTGGATGTATCTGACCTGCTTCGCTCGCTCGATCGCTTCGTCAACGCTATCCGCGCTGTCCAGGTAATCGTCGACATAATGGCGACGGATTATCGCCTTCACCGCTTCTGGAAATCGTTCGGCAAACTGCGCAGCATTTAAATTTTTTATGTATTGTGCAGACGCTGGAGAGCACGCCGCGCCAAACGTCATTACGTCCATCAAGAATACGTCCGGATCTTTGGCTGATGGATCGGTTCGGAAAAGGAAACGCAGGGCATGTTTGTCAACCTCCCTCATCCAAATTTGGTGAAACATCTCACATATATCGGCTCCAAAAGCCACCAGTCGCTCACGGAACCGTTGAATTACCGCTGTCAGGGATGTTAGAAAATCGGGACCGGTGAGAAGCATTGAATTTAGTGAGACACCGTCTACTTGGGCAGCAGCGTCCCAGACAAGCCGGACCTTGTTCGGCTTTTTCGGGTGAAGAACGTAATTCAGAGGCAAATACCAAACCTTCCGTGGGTCTGCCTTTGCCAACTCGACAAGTGAAGCTTTGTGGGCATAACCCTTCCTTTGGTATTCTTCTATCTGCAACCTCACATTTTGCTCGATGACTGGATTCTTTTTTAGACGGCGTTCTAGGTGGTCAAGACGCTTGATTGCCATTCTCTTGCTGTCCGGGAACTGGAAGTCATCCTTTTTCCAAAGGAGACCCGTTTCGTAACCACCTTCGACTCGAACTGTGGTGGTTTTCAGTATTTCCTTTGCTCGGCGATCCATTTCGGACTCTGGAAGTGCGCGTACAGAGACATTTGTTTCTTCTATGGTGAAGAATTCTCGGATTTGGTCGTGGAGCTCTTCGTTCGTGAGGCTGACGTGAAGACCTAATAATTCACCTGACGTGGTAACCTCCCGTGGACCGTAAATCGTCCAGCCCAACTGCGATCGAACGGCGATTGGCTCGTTAGGTTTTCCAATCCGCGACTCGATAGGTGCCAGTAGATAGACGTTGTTTAGGCCAATCAAAACCTTCGGCTCGTCATTGGCTCGGTTTGCTGCATGTAGACCCTTCAGGTGACTATACCGCTTACCAATATCCTCGAAGTTTACTCCTTGTTTCGGCAGGTGCATTTTCTTCACGGTTCGTACGTTGGTGAGATTGAAGCGTTTTCTGCTCCCAACTCCAGATATCTTAAGTGTCAGACACTCCGAAGCCGGCTCCTGGCGAACGATATTACCAGTCCACTGCAGCGTTAGCGGCTGCGGAAATCCCTTTGCGTTCAGTGCAGCAACTAGACTGTCTTCGATTAGCGTCATCGAAGAACCTTCGTCTAGGTAGGCGAGCGTTGTTATGGATTTCGACCCGTTGTGAAGAGTGACTGGGATGATGCGAAAAATCACCGACATCTTCGTAGAAACGTGGGCGTGGTGAAATTCCGGATTTTGCGCCTGCGTCGGTGTTGGTTGAGGGACTATCCTGGCCGATGCTCCATCGTGGTGGACCAAAGGATGATGCCGCTGACGACAGTCACCAACGTTGCAGGTGATTTTGAATTTACACCAACCTTCATGATCATTCAAGCATCGTTCACACAACTTACGTTGCCGCATCAGTTTGACGCGATCGGATAGACCAAGACCGCGGAATTTGTCACAGTTTCTTATTCGATGGCCATACTTTTGGCAAATGAGGCACGGTTTGCTCGGTCCTGGAACTACAGCAGACTCCTCGCTATGAGTGTGGATGATTCCTTGAAGCTGAAGCAGGTAGCTTGTCGACTAACTCCTGAAGAAGGATCGGGTTTACGAGGTGGTCACGAAGATCAGCTGCTTCCAGATGGTCACACAACTCCTGAACGGCCATTCCAAATGGGATGAAGGTTTCGAGGCGGTCGGCTCTAGGAGCGTCAGTTTTCCGGACCTTATTCAAGAGTGTGTGGACCAACTGTTCGGGGCGACCGTAGAGCATACGGAGAGTGTTTATGACCTGTGGTACCCCTCGCGGCAAGAGAAGTCGACTACGCACAGCCTCTAAAGCCGGTCCCTTAAGACATTCCTGAAGTCTAACAAGGTTCTCGAGTTCTGTGAACCCACAAGCCTCCGTGGAGTTTACGAAACTGCTATAAAACAGTGGCCATTCTTCTGATCTCCCCGTAAATATGGGCAGATTCTTTGAAAGTATCTGCCGAGCTGCACGCTGAGCTCGCGTAGGTCCAGGTTCGTACCGCGATGCTGTGCCAGCCAGTGAATTGCAGGCCACGGATGCGCGGGTTTCCGAACTTTCTACTGAAGCGGTTTCAGCTTCTGGTGTTTCATCGCTCTCATCGTCGTTGCTGTCTTGCTCCTCCTGTACAGCACATTTTCCTCTCTGCTGGTGTCTGACCACATCGGGATTCCGCATAGGGGTTTCGTGCGCACCAACGTTGCTAGTGCCGTGAGTTGGAATCTTCTTGTTCTTCAACCAGTCAAACACACGGCTGTGGGAGGGCTCGATATCACCTACTTTGTGGTGCTTCCCACCAAGTGCACTTTTCTTCTCCAGCTTTCCTCCAACCGCGCCTTCTTGCTCATCATTGGCAGCTGCGTTAAGCTCGGACTTCTCACACTCGAACTTTTCCCTGAGTGAACGTCTCTTCTGCTGGAACGCTGCCTCTTCAGCTAACCGTTTTTCCAACATAAGCTTCTCTTGCGCAAGCTGTTTCTCCTTAAGCTCCCGCTCCATCGACAGTCGCTTCTCGGCCAGAATCCTCTCTACTTTCAGCTGCCTTTCACGGATAAGTTGTTCCATTTTGAGCTCCTTTTCCGCTTTCAAGAGTTGTGCTTCCATACGACGGAACTCGATCTGCACTCTCGATTCAGCTGTTTCCAAATCACTTCCAGCTGCTTTTTCCGAGGGTTTTTCATCACCCAGATTATCACCAGCAACACTGCTACCGTTTTCACCAGTTTCTGCTTCCTCAGCAGATTCCGCTCCGGAGGTCGATGGCATGGGGAGATTCTGCGTAGCGGATTTCTTCGAGCTGGGTTTCGGTGGAGGATTTTCCACATTCTTACCCTTCCGTTTCTTTTCCCGCTTCGCGGTGCAATTTTCACACCGAAACTCACGATTTTCCACTCCGGGACTAACTCCTGCACAACTGAAATGCAGCCATGCTTTACAACCGTCACAAGCCACCATCTCCGGGGTGTCCGGCTGATCGCACTTCGTACAACTTCCCGGCATCTCGAATTGAGGTTATAAAATTCTTTGAGAATGTTGGGGAGGATTCGGATTGTGCGAGAGAAATATAATTCTTGTAGCAGCTCGTTGTTTATCAGCTCAACTATAAGTTAAATACACATTTTAGGATCGGATATTAGGATTATTTGAAGCTACTTACAGAATTTTAGTATTCTTTTCTCCCGTGTACAACGTGCTCTGACCTGATGGGGCTCTTACGGGTTTATAGGCTAGTTTTAGGTAACACATTGTTAGAATAGGTATTTTAATTCATTTAGGTAATAAGAAACTTACTTTTATGAGTTTAAATTTAGTTAGCAAGTAAGTTTTGTGAATAATCGCAAATAATTTAAGTAAATTTAATTCTAATTTTACGAAGATCACTTCTGTGCACGTTCCAGCCTAGAATTGTGATTTTATTCTTCACTTTGCTGGTGACATCATCTCATACCTGCCAGTCCTCGTATCTGTCATACAGTCAGCGGCTCGGCAGTTACCAGTGAGGTAGACTCATCGCTGACTTGCTGCACAGTGGGCTTAACACACGGTTTAGCGACTTTCAGTCAATTTAATTGTTTATCCGCAAGTTTGAACATACTGAACTTCATATGATCAAATGTACTTCTAACAATTTCAAATTAAATTCTTCAATTTTGCGTTCCTGTCAAAAATATGTCTGTATCATATGAACTCACGTTTTGAAACAGCTGCTTTGGTAAAAAACCAGTCATTCACAAGACTAAAAAAAGATAGCCTTAAATTGGCAGTACTTCTGAAATTTAATTTATTCTACAGATAATAATTGGTTCTGTTAAATATTTTTTGCTAAAACTGTTCATTTTTGACCCTTTATAAAGCCTCACGAGAACATAATATTCTTACCCGTTGTTTACAAAGTCGCTCATACCACCCCGACAGGTTGCTCATTTTACACCAACGGTTTAATTTCGATTTTTTTTTAAATCTTCTTGCATAAGATTCAAAAGTTTACTTTTAATATTCAATTTGTATTGATTTTTTTTTCTTGGTTTGTTTTCCGTCGATTTTGTTTTCCATTTTTACCTTCATCCGTAAGATGAAGATAATCCAATGGCATTTCAATGCGTTAGAACGGAATTGAAACTCGCAGGACGAATGTGGCAGTGCTAGATTTTAGTCAGTGTCTCAACAATTTGTGACTCTTTATCAAATCTAAGGGTACATATGGAAAGGTAAATGAAAAAGTTAGTGTAAGCCATATATAGTAGAAGCATTCCATTTTGTGTTCAAATCCACTCGAAAAGGAGAGGAGTGCGGGTTGTGCTTAGTAGGCACAGTATTAGATATAAACCCTGCATGTTTCACTTAAGAGCTAGGTTAGGTAGATGCAAAAACACGATCTTAAATCTGTAAAAGCAAGTAATCTCACTAGTCCTGTAGCGTTAAGTTGAAGCCCGTTGTGTTTGTTGATCTCGAGACTCCCTGCACCGGCCAATTTCCATGGGTTAGAGACAATGTGGTTGGTTTTGGTTCTTGCAGAAAATTCGCGAAGCAGCATAAACAATTGAGCTTCCAAACTGTAAGCTCAGTCAGCACTCCTCCGTCCCCGTTACAACTTTCCATCTTTCAAATCATCCTCGGCAAAAAGGAGGGAAAAAATATAAAAAACATATGTTTCCGTTAATTATCAGAGCAACCAAATTTTCGTCATGCCAAAAATTCCAATTCCGAAAGTAGCAACAGAAAAAAACACTCGCTCTGTGTCCAACATACCTTCCTCCTGTATTATCACCGTCATGTGTGAGCTCACGTTTTCTGTTTATGTTCGATTCGATTCCTTCTCTTAATATTTTTTGCTGGACCCCCTCGCTACCAACAGGCGTGCGGTGAAAACAATGTGTAAGATTCGATATTCGGCTGGACCCCAGAAGAGCGAATTGCCCCAGGGCGTAGCACTGCGCCATCCCCTTCGTATCCAAGCAAACTACATATTCGGGGTGGCAATGCGGATTTGGGTTCAGTTTTTGGTCAGAGGGAGTGCCATCTACGAGTCATCCGAAAATTGCTTGGAGATTTTTCCCCTTGTCGGGTGAAACTCTCACTATCGGTTCGTCCATTTTCGATGACACTGCGAGAATGGGGCAACTTTTCCTTTTGTATTCCGCCGCCATTGAGGATGGAAATTATTGCCAACCAAAACGGTCCCAATTTGCCATCTGATAACGTGCGGAATTGTAATAAAACCTCGCAAACTGACACTAAAGATCACAGCATCATAATCCTTCACGCATCTATACGCACTTTCACCTAATAAACACAGTTTCGGCAGCCAGCCTGTTGATCAACATTTTCTCGATTCGTCGAAATATAATTAGATATCCATCGTTTGCAATCGGGAAACCAACCGGCATGGGAAGTAAATTAGTAAAGTTGCTCAAACGTAAATTGATCTTGTTTTTTTTTTGCGCTAAATCAAAGTTTTATTCAAATTAGTTTTAGCGGAAAAAGCGCACAAATAAACGGATCTGCGTGCGCAGCTCGTAAATTGTTTAATTAAGCAAGATTTGGAAAAAAATAAATTTGCTCAAATGCAGCTCTCATTCAGGTTTCGCTGAATCGCTGAAGGCCATTACAAGCCATTTGACGCCCTGAGCGAGGTCCAAATCGACCAACGAAACGGAGCGGATGTTTTCTCTTTCGCTTCGGAAGTGGAGTTTTTGATCTACGGCTACCCCAGCTTCGGCACACTAGTTGGCATGCGGAATGCTTACGGTTTTCTGGGCGCATGAAACATTTTCGGCCTCATTGGTATGCAGGTCCAGCTTTGGATACATTTTTAGTGTTTAAGGTTTCAGGAATTGGGAGTTCTATGCGTCATCGAAGGAGTGCGGAAACTAAACTGCCGCAAGTGAAAGCAAAATTGATGGTGGAACTGGCTTCAGATCTTTGAGATCTCTCGAATAAAAATGCAAAATTACACGTAGGAACAAATCCAGGACATTGAAATAGTACTCGAACGCTTCACAAGCTCAATTGAGTGAGTGAACTAAACTATTCAGCTCGTGTATCGAGGAAATTTCGGCGAGGTACCATTCTCCAACATTTGACCCTTCGAACTGGATCGCAGACACTGTGTCTCTGGTAGGATTATAAAAAAATAGTATCGCTGAAACACCCTTCAAACGTTTGAGACTAGTTTCAAAATGTTCTAACGGGGTCATTCTTCCATACATTTTTTTTTTTGGGCTTCAATGGTCGAGAAAGTTAAAGAGTTAAAAAAAAATCTAGACCCTTCGATAGAACATTAGATAGTATGGACTAGCCTCATATGAGAAGGGTGAAATTAAGCTTTCGTTTGCTGGGTGTTTCAGCGGTATTGATTTCTTTTAAAATAAGAGACACCGATCCTAAACTTCGCTTAGATGAACGTCATTCTGGAACGGGTTAAATGGCTCGAAGAACCAAATGCTGGGAAATGGTGCCTTGCCGAAATGCCTATAAGATCATATCAGTCCCATCTGGAAAAATAGCAAGCCGAGAAAAACGCTGTTTGAAATGTATTTATCCGTAGATTCTTATGGATGGAACAACCAAGTTTTGGTATTTTTCACGATATTTTTTGAATAAAACATGTGACTTTTAGTGCATAAAGGGTGTCCACGATGAAATTGCCACACACAAAATTGATTCGCAAAATTCGAGTTTTCATCCGATTGCCATCAAATTTTCAGGGATTGAGAAATAACTATTAAACTTCATCTTACCATTTTACTCGTATTTTATTTACAGTCCATACGCAAATGCCCGCACCTTGGCCCTAACCCCGGCCATAAGATTCTGCACAACCTGTGAATCAACCGTTTTTTGCATGTAAACCCATACTTTCTTCAGTTCCTCGACTGTCTTCACTACCTTAGGTCGTTTAAGAAGGTGCTGCTTCATAATCGCCCAGTACTTCTCGATGGGGCGGAGCTCCGGAGTGTTGGGAGGGTTGAACATTTTCGGCACGAAATTGACCTTATTGTCCGCATACGACTTCAGCACGTCCTTGGAGTAGTGGCATGAGGCCAAATCCGGCCAGAAGATTGTTGGGACGTTGTGGGCCTTCAGGAGAGGAAGCAGCCGCTTCTGGAGGCACTCTTTTATGTACACTTGTCCGTTCATCGTGTCCTGGGTCACGAAAGGTGCACTCCGCTTCCCGCACGTGCAGATGGCTTGCCAAACCAGGAATTTCTTCGCAAATTTGGACATCTTCTGAGTGCGGACATGCTCCGGAACGCTGAACTTATCCTTGGCCGTGAAAAACAGGTTGCCGGGGATCTGTTTGAAGTCGGCCTTCACATATGTTTCGTCGTACATGATGCAGCATTCAACTTTCGTCAGCATGTTGAGGTACAACTTCCTGGCACGGGTTTTGGCGGACTTGTTCTCCTTCTCGTCGCGATTAGGGGCCTTTTGTACCTTGAACGTTCGAAGCCCAGCCTTAGTTTTGGCCTTCTGGACAAAACTTCGGCTTAGGTGCAGCTTCTTAGCCACATCCCTAACGGAGGCGTTCGGATTTCGGTTGAAGGCCCCAACTACGCGGTTGTGATTTTTGGTGTTGTACGGAATACTTTTTCCTTCACTTCTGGGCTTCCGATCGGTGGTCAACCGTTCCTCGAACCGCTTAATCACTCGCGACACCGTGGAATTCGCGATTCCCAACGTTTTAGCGATGGAACGATGCGAGAGATCCTTGTTCTCGTGATGAATGCGCAAGATTTTATCACGCACGAGCTGTTCTTTCGACTCCATTTCCGCGAGTTTTGATCACAGGACTTTAAAACTTGCAGGATGTAAATAATTCACTATGAACTAAATCCACCAAAATTTTCATTAAATTCTACCCAACGGTTAAAAAGTTAGAGCAATTTCATAGTGTGGCAATTTCATCGTGGACACCCTTTAGTGTTAAATACAGATAGTTTAAAATCGATTGT